TGGGGGGGAGGGGGGAGGCTGGGAAGGGATGGGAAGGGTAAACAAAGGAGGAGGCTGCAATGCTTGGTAAGAAATGTACGCATTATGCCGCCCATGTAATTGTAACCCCTCTGTACAGTATGTTCACAAATAAAATAAAATAAAATTAAAAAAAATTAAAAAAAATTTTAAATATTAAATCATATCACATATTCTTTATGGATACAAATGTCATAGAAGTTTAAGTTACTGAAAACTTTGATTACATTCATTAAATCCCTAATGTTAAAATATCTTTGTGTTCTGGGGAAAACAGCCACATGATCATGGTGCATTTTTTATGTTTTTTAGTAATCATCTGGCAAAAGTTGTATAGTATGTTCAAATTCAAGGGAATAAAATAGGGCAGACATCTATTCTTACTGTGTTTTAGAATTCCTTTTGGTATTAGTGTTACAATAATTTTAGAAATGTATCCATTGTTTTTTCTTTAAAGAACTTAGATGAGATATAATCATCTTGGGAAGATTAATTATGAGTTTTTAATATCAACTCATTACAGGACAACAACATGTAGTATGATGTAATTGGAAAGTAGGTTTTACAACAGTATTCCATAACTGAGCTATATTCATTATAAAATATGTTGTTATTGAAATTGTAGTTTGGGAGCTAATACATTGAAGAATAAGGGGTTGCATGTTCAGAGATTATTGCTTCCATGTGTATGTATCTGAAATTGCTATGGGACAAACTTTAGATTTTTTTAAGACTGATTCTTTATTGGGCACTCTAGATAGCCCTGGACCCAGGCTATAACCCAAGCTGACCTCCAAATCACTGTCCTCCTGCTTGAGCCTCCCATGTATTGGAATTCTAGACCTGTACCACCACACCCAGTTCAGAACATCTTAAAAGACTGAAAAATGGGTACAAGTTATTTTGGAGATAAACCATAGTATATTAGTACACAATTAAATTTCCATTCAATTATATAGTGTACTTTAGTAAGTTAGATATAAAAGTCTACTTGGGACAAATATCTAATATTTTGTGTTCTGAATGATTTTTTTCACTAAATGGGAGGAAAAACGAATAAGTATTATCTATATTATTTTATCAACTTGGTTTAAAATTATGAGTAGTTTATATCCATTGTGAAGTCCCATGCAAAATATTTTAAATTTGGAAATACTTTTCTTAATTGATGAAGTAAGTGGTTATGCAAAGCAAATGAAAAAAGAATATGTGAGTATTTTAAGCTTCTTATTCTACCCTACTCTTAGGAAGAGCATAGTATTACCTAGCTCTAGCTGAGACATTCCTCTCTTTAAAGGTAAAAAAGCCTATACTATTTCTTCTGCCGTGCTTTTGAGAGTTCAGTTTGAATTCCTTTACTTGAGTTGTTTTTTAGAAAAAGACAGTAATTTACTTAATACAAGTTCTGTAGACTCCAGAACCAAACATGTGCACAGTATCTCCTCTGAGTGCTTTAGTTTAGTTGGCTATTCTTATCTTGAAAAGCTACCAAATTTGCTTCCTATGCTCTCAGTATAAATAAGAATCTATAACAATACCTGCTGTTTTGGATAGCAGATAATGATAGAATAGCCCAGTTTAGACCACTACAGTGTTCAGAAAGCAAGTATTATTCTAAAATTACAATATAGAATACTAAATTTTTAGTTCTGTAAGCATTAGATAATTAATGAGCTTGACCGAAATAGTTATTTTATAAAACAACATATTTAATAGATCCTTCTGTATTGAAAATCTAGCATTAGACCCTGCAATATTAAAACATTCTTGAGAGAAAGCTCTTGAATTATATAAAATGTTTAGAAATTCAAATAGTCAAGTTAGAGATTGATATGTAAATACATCCACAAAAAGACTTGATTAACAAGTTGTTTCTGTTGAATTTCAAGAGCATAAAATATTGAAGGGGAGCAATATTATGTGGGCATTCTTTAAAATAATTCCCTGCATGAATTTCTGAGAAAAATGCAAATAAGAAGCACACAAGATAAATTATATCTTGAATATAATAAGGTGTATTTGTTTGAAGTATTTTGAAACAGGAAAAACATCTTTCACAGAAGATAGCATGGAGTAATTAATATATATTGCACTCATCATGGATGATAAATTTAAGAGTTTACGGGCCTGGTAGCTCATGCATATATTCCTTCCTTCTCAGGAGGCTGAAATCTGAGGATCACGATTCAAAGCTACCCTGGGCAGAAAAGTTCATGAGACTCTTATCTCCAATTAACCACCAGAAAGCTGAAAGTGGTCTGTGGCATTTGCCTTGAGCTGAAGAGCCCAGGGACAGCATCCAGGTCCTGGGTTCAAGGCTGCAACCACACATAAAAAAAAAAGAAAGACAAAACTTTACAAACTTTTAAATGGATATAAGTAGGAAGATAATACTTTAGCAGTTGTAGCATACTCAGTATTAGATTTGTAACATTCCTGTTTGAAATATTAATTTAAATATATTCTTCGTAATGTATTTAGTAGGTTATAAATTAGCTTGACTTTTGTTGTTATTTTTAGTCTGTTTTGAGTATATTTACCAGAGTAAACCTCCCAAAATAGCCCTTATATTTATCAAACTATTGTCAACAGCCTTCCTTTTTTCAGCAAATAGGAGAGTAGTCCTTCCTGTTTCTTTTTTTTCTTTTTTTCCTTTATCTTTTTATTTTTCTCTTTTTCCCTCTGTTCTTTTTTTTTGGGGGGGGGAGGGTGTTCATGGGGCTTGAACTCTGGGCTTGGGCATTGGGCCTGAGCTCCTTTTCTTGTTGAAGGCTAGCACTCTACCTCTTAAGCCACAGTGCCACTTCTGGCTTTTTCAGTGATTAATTGGAGATAAGAATCTCACAGATTTTCCTGTCCAGGCTGGCTTTGAACAGAGATCCTCAGATCTCAACCACCTGAGTAGCTAGGATTGCATTAAACCACCAGCTAAGATTTAATTTTATTAAGCAAAATTTCCATTTCTATGCATTACCCTTGTGTCAAGTATAAATAACCTATGCATTATGCTAGCTATTTTTTAAAATATTAACAGTGCCTATAATACATTTTTATACAAATACTATTGTTCTATCAAATATTTTTTACTTCAACTGACACTTGTAGCCCCTGTGCTCTTCTTTACAGAATGTGATTTGCATGGGGCTATGGTGCAGAGTAGAAGGTGAGAAAGAATGCAGGAGCAAACTTGATCCGCCCATGGATGGGACAGACTGTCTCCCCGGTAAGGTATGTCATTCCTGTTCCTTGAATTCACTTGTGTCATCTCTTGCCAGGATGGATACACAGGTATCCATCTTAACTTTGATGGAATAATTTGCCTCACACAAATGTGAGCATTTTGCCAATCTTTAGTTTTTTAAGTTTTATATTTTATCAACCTTATGGATGCTTCATTAATAGTGATATTTTATTGCTGTTAATTACAATACTGAATTAGATTTATGTAGCACTTTCACAAAAAATGAGTTTTTTGTTTTTATTATTTAAACAGAAGTAAAATAAGCACAATAATAGCATAATTATCAAAACTTCTGGAAGCAGTGAATCCTTTCAACTGTAAAATATTGTCTCTGTGCTATGTTGAAAAATGAACTTTACAATTTAGGCGGCGGGGAGGTGGCAGGGGTGTAGTAGTTGTGGCAATGGGAGGGAAGGAATGGGAGAGGAAAAAGGAAGAGGCAACAATGCTTGATAAGAAATGTACTCATTACCTTGCTCATGTAATTGTAACCCCTCTGTACAGTATTTTCACAATAAAAAAAACCTTATTAAAAAATATTGTCTCTGGAGCGCAACTGAGTACCTTTTATTTTTTCTGGTCAATATGAGCACTATAAATAGAATATTCAAATTGACATTTGGAGATTATCAAATGTTTGGCTAAGTAAATTAATTAAGCATGCTTTATAAGGGCTAAGGAATTTTTGAGTATATGTTTCAAGATCAAAATCATTGTTGCTGAAGCATAGTTTTCCATTCAGGAATATGAAGTATTTTGATCCCATGTGTACTTATGGTGAACTGAAAACAAAAATTAGGGGTCAATACGCCACATAATTTTTGAACTTGTGTAGGAAAACAATAATGTGGAATGCTTTTCTTTTTGTTCATTAATGCTAAGATTAGAAACCTGACTTTTGAAGGACATGATTGTTCATTATATTTAAAAACAAATGGCAGCATCCATACACAGATTTCCTGGGTGTGAGTTACTTAAAAAATTAACTTATGTGGAATATTTTAAAAACTCATCACTGCAAAAAAGATGAAAACCTATAGCTTATTTCCGGAAACTCTTCCTGAGTTAATACTTAAGCATATGCCTGAAGAACCACAGGTACCCTCATGTATACGCAAGGCTGACCATGTGAGCAGGCAACCAACAATGGTGAGAACTACAAAACAAAAAATATTAAGTAGAGAGAACTGAACCTAAGTTTGGAGGCTCACACTTAAAATCCTAGCTACTCAGGAGAGTGAGAATTAAGGATTTTGCTTCAAAGCCAGACAGGCAGGAAAGTCTGTGAGACCCTTAACTCCAGTTATCCACCAAAAACTCATAAGGAAAAGCATGGTTTATGTCTTAGAGTACTAATCAAAAAAAGTTCAGGGACAGTGCCCAGTTCCAGCACAAAAAAAGTGAGTTAGATAAGTACATATCAACATAAAAAATCCAGGAGACATGGAGGTTAATACAGGTATGTCAGAAAAAAAACTAATTCTTTATGTTATGCTATTTGAGACTTAAGGAAAGCAGAGGTTACAAACAGATGTGAATACACATTTGTAATTTTAGACTCATAAAATTTAGTTTGAAAATATAAATTACAAACTAATCAGCAGTTAACCTTTGGGAAAGAAAGTGGCATTCAATGGGAGTAAGCCAAAGAGCAGTGAGAGTGACTACAACTTTTATCTATATCATCCTTGAATTCTTTATATAAGCAAATTAGCCATTTATTATTTCTGTAATTTTACCAATTAACAAAAGGGAAATAGTATATACCTTGTATAAATGTAAACTCTTTTTTTGCCAAGGATAGAAATATTTTAGCACTAGATATGATCAATAAGAAAATAGTTCCTTAAAGGAAACTTAAGTAGTCAGAATTTTAGTCTGCCTCATTTTTTACCAGGCAATACTATGAATAACATTGTTGAGTAATAAAACCCTGCCATGGCAATAATTTCCACCATCCCTGCATCTCTAAAGCAGTAATACATAGACATGACTAACCATTCAGCTTTGAGTCTTTAAGAATTACATAGCCATTCATCTCATTTACTTCTTTTTTTTAACATCTCTTTTTATAATCTATGATCCTAAATCTTTTTGTATTGTGACTTTTTTCATGATTTTGAGAATTTTTTTTATGTTTTGGAAGTACTCTGATTTGAACTCAGGGATGCCACTTGCTGTGCAACCACTTTATTTCTTGAGTTATGTTTACAGCACTTTTTGCCCCAGTTAATTTTGAGAAAGTTCCTCACTTTTTCCCTGGGCCAGCTTCCTGCTATATTTGGGATGAAGGGCACATACCATTATGCCCATCTATTTGTTGACATAAGATCTTGCAAACTCTTTGCCTTGCCTAGCCTCAAACCTCCATCTTCCCAATATTTACCTGCTAAGTAAATGAGATCCAGGAATGATCCTTTGGCACCTGGCTGAAATATTCTTGAGATCTCTAAATTAAACACTCCTTCAGCAACTGAAACTGTAATTGGTCATCAAAGTATATTTTATTTCCATAATCACATGCTTAGTGAATTGAAATAACTGACTGACTTAGTCTCTTAGACAATGTATGTTTTTTTCTGGTTCTGTTTCTTCTGTTCTAGTTGTTATAGAAACAATCATATAAATAGTGTAGGATGGTGGTAAAATATTGGAATGCTGGCAACCTCACACAAAACACTTCGAGCTCTGTGTAATGCAAACTCACAAAAAATTATACATACTAAGCACTTATAACACTAATGATGTCAACTGTACTGCATAAATTTAGTTCTCTAAGTGAATTTAAGTCTGAGAACCTATCTACAGAATTCGGTGATTCAAAAGGACATAGAAAGCCAGGCACTGATGACTCATGTTTGTAATCCTACCTATTCAGAAGGCTCGAACTGAAAACCTCAGTTGGAAGCCAGCCCTGGCAGGCAAAGCCACATGAGACTTTTATCTCTACCTAACCAGCAAAAAGCTGAAACTGGAGGCATGACTCAAGTGGCAGAGCACCAGCATGAGCCACATGAAAGCTCACAGCCCTGAATTCAAGCCTCCATGCCTACACACACACACACACACACACACACACACACACACACACACACACACACACAAAATGAGATGATTAATATTCCATTTTAGACAGCATTTCCAAAGAAACAGATTTTTCTCTTTTGTTTAGCTGTTATCTTTGTACAATTTCATCTTAGCATATATTTACAATTTATATTTATCAGATTAGAGTTGATAAATGTGATTAAAATCTAATAAATGTATAAATATATTTATATGTATATGACTATATGCATATGTGTTCTATTATGTACATGTATCACTATGTGAGTATATGCATATGAACATTTATTTTATATGCATATGTGTATTACTGTGTTGTCTCAAATAGGGAGAAGGAAAGGTAATTATAAGTTTACTAGGACTGTAAATTTATGTGAAGAGTTTTATGTAGTACAGTTTAGTTGTTTACTTTTCAAAGTTGAGATCCCTAAATTTGCAATTATCATTTTTTGTTGGAAATAAATGAGACTGTAACATCCTCATGACCTTCACATGCATATATAACGAGCCTTGGGCTTTCTTTCTTTTCTTTGCCCTCTTCCATAGTATGTCCAGATTTGGACCAGGATACTTTGACATACTCATGACTTCTAATCACACGTTCTCATGGACTTCTTGCACATGGAAAGTTCAAACCATAGTACATTCAGATTTTTAAACCATGTCTTGTCCCAGAAATTGTCAATATTATATATTCCTTTAGAACTTTCATCAATCAGGATCATATACCAGAAAAATTCTGGGTTTTGAAACCTGTGTGCTATACAGGCTGAAAAGTACAAACATATAATATATGGCACTCGCAATTTTATGGGAATCATCATTAGGATCATTTTATATATGAATCCAACAAACTGTACTGTATAACTGTGTACTGGGGGCACATTCCTGCTAGCTCCTCAGGGTGCTAAGACCAGGGGAATTGCCATTTGAGGCCAACCTAAGGAAAAGCCTCTAGAAAATATGTGTTCACGGTCTAATTAAAAACAACCAGTGAGCACTTTCCTTATATTTAGCAAGCATCATCTAAAAGGCACAAAAGTTAGTTCCTCTAGTTCCATGCGGAGCTCTGATTCTCTGAAATGTGAGAAACCTCAGGTGTTTTGCAGTCCCTTATCGAAACTCCACAGATTTGTATATCCACATAGGCTTGTATGTCAGTTTCCAGATTTCTTCACCTGCCAGATGTGATGTAGTTCAAGTTATGTGCAAGTCTAGATCCAACTCCTTCTCTAAATAATCTCAGTTTGTTATGAACTCTGGCTCAGCCTTTTACTGCCAGACTGCTGCTAAATGGACAGTATACACCCAATGGGGACAGGGAAACCTTAAATAGGCCAGCACATTGCAAATGAACTGAAGTTTGACACCTTGTACATTAGCATTCTTGCCAATAACTGACAATGTTAAGCTCTTAAAACCAGTAAGTGGTGCAGAAGTTTTCTCTCTGTTTTCCTTCTTTTCCAATTTTTACTCCTCCTCTTCCTACCAAATCCCCAATTGTTTAAAGAACACCCTAGCTCAATGATAAGAACTGCACGGTTAAATTTAAAACTTCTTAAATTTGAAAGAGATTGAATTTGAGTTCTGACATTATTAGAAAAATCTACAAAGACGAGTTATTTTATCACAGATTGAAACATTTACTGAGTTAAACTAAAAGTAATAGCATCATCTTCTAAATATTCTCTTATAAAACATAAAACATGCACTTAAAATAAATTTAAGTCAAGGCAGATCAAGAAATATCCGAATGGTGGGGCGCTGGTAACTCACACCTGTAATTCTACCTACTCAGGAGACTTAAGATTGGTGGATTGTGGTTCAACGCCAGTCCAGGCAGGAAAGTCTATGAGACCCTTATCTGTAATTATGAAAAGGAAAGGAAAGGAAAAGGGAAAAGGAAAAGGAAAAAGAGCCAAAAGTGGAGCTGTGGCTCAAACAGTATAGTACAAGCCTTAAGTTCAAGCCTCAGGCCCAGCATGAAAAGAAAAAAGAAATAGAAATATCAGAGTTAACAGAATTTTGGTCAGATTTCTGGAAACTATCATTGGTAACATTAATGATATGTATTTATTAATGTACTGTACTTCATTTCCATTATATGTTATCCACGCACTTAATATTTCATTCAATCCCTGATTAAAGCCTAGGTAACAAGGTAATTAGGTAAATAGTCACACTTTGAAAAGAAATGAAATTCTGAACAGTAATTTCTTTAAAACAACTTGCTCAACAATTTTATTTTATGATCAGTAAACTAAATGTCCCTGATCTTTTCTTATTATTCTCAATATGATTTTGTTAGTGTTTCTAACATGTTTGCTGGGACCATTATCAGTTTGATTTTTCTGAATTAGAAAAAAAAGAAAGTTTTCAGAAGAAAAACTTTGTTTACATATTTATGTTTGAAATATAACAGTAAGTCTTCCAGAAGAAAAGAAAGCATAAAGTCCTAAAAATGAAATCATATGTTGCATGCAAGGAAACAAAATACATTACTGACATTGTTAATAAAAATGGTTAAATTTGTATAAATGGCTGCTTTAACCTAGTTTCAGAAATACATTTATTGATGATTTTCCCATCTGTATACATGACTATGCTTCTTGTATCTGTTTCAAATTCTGTTTCTCAGAATGTCTTAGCTTTTCTTTTCTGGTTTTGCAACTTTGGATTCTCTGTCCATTACCTTCACCCTAACTCTATCACAGGTATTAAGTTCTCAGTGTGACAGTACTACTGCACTGTATGTACTGCTGGGTACTGCTCTCAAGATGTGAGAACTTTGAGAATTTGATCATTATACTACTATGACAAAAATGTGTGCCAAGTTACTCTTTAACAAAAATATTGTTGATGGGGCTGAAAAGGTGGTTTAGTGCCTAGCATGTATGAAGCCCGGGGTTTGATTCCTCAGTGCCACATAAACAGAAAAGGCCAGAAGTGGTGTTGTGTCTTAAGTGGTAAAGTGATAGCCCTGAGCAAAAGAAGCTCAGGGACAGTACCCAGGCTCTGAGTTCAAGCCCTAGGACTGTCTCCCCCACCCCCCTCTCTCTATATATATAATATATTAAAGGGGATGTACAGAGGGGTGCAGTTGCATAAATCAGGTAAAGAGTATATTTCTCTGTCAACGATATCACCCCTTCCCTCACTCTCAGTACTTATTATTATCTTTTGCAATTTCTTGTATTTTGAGCCATAGTAGAACTAGTTTACCTACCTTAATTCCAGTGACTGTATAGGCCAGTGAATGACTTTGCCTTGTACCTTGATTTGTTCACCTAAGACATAACTTTTGGAATAGTGGTGTAAGGCTGGAGAGTGTACCAGTAGGACCCCAGCACCTGAGCACCGGGCTGGAGAATGGAGCATGTGGAGTTCCTGCAGCCGAACCTGCAGCTCTGGGACCAGCAGTCGAGAACGCAGATGTCCTGGGTAACTCGCAATTCCTAAATTAGGAGAGGGAACTTTTCTTCAATTTGGAAATGCAAAGATTTACCCATAATCTATGTTGTAAAGCCAGAGAAATTCTTTAATTTCTACTCCACTTTGGTAAACTAAAAACTTCTTTGAATTATTTATTTATTTATTTTATATACACATTCCCTTTTATATGAAAATACAGGCCAGAATAAAATGAGGGAAACGACAAAAGTTTTTTTTTTAATGAATCCAGTAAAATGTATTTAAGCATAAAATATGTATTAGAAAGTGTGTCATTATTTAAAAGAACTGTGAGAAAAGTACAAATTAGGTAGTACCTTAGAAAAATAGAGACAGAACGAAGTGATGATAAGAAGCTGAAAGGAAAAACAATATCTCATGGAGCCATGCAAAGTTTATTGTACAATTTGTTTGTTCACTGCCAATGAGCCTAGAGAGACCAGTGTGAAAAGGTGATTTCAGCTCCTTTGCTCTGACTGCCAGTGAGGACCCTGTGGCACCATTCAGTCACAGCAGTGTCAAAGATTATGAGTTTATTTGAAAACATACCAACAATTCTAAGGACTAAACTTCCCCATGGGAACCAGCCTCTTTCTCTTCCTCCCTTGGTTCATTTTCATGACAAGTTGTTTTCTATTCTTCATATAGTTTAGAAGATAATTAAAGTTGAAAAACATATATTGCTTAGAAGAAATAAACATATGAATATCCTAGCTATTGTTTAAAATATTCATCTCAGAAAAGTAGATATTTTATCAATATAATGGTTTTTGATCTTTAAATTTTTTATAATAAAAATATAAAAATGATTATTCATACTGTTTTTTTCTAGGCTAAGTTCTGAAGCAAGGGATTGTAATGGTCCCAGAAAACAATACAGAGTATGTGAGAATCCACCTTGTCCTGCAGGTTTGCCTGGGTTCAGAGACTGGCAATGTCAGACCTATAATTTTAAAACTTCACACCCAAAGCAGGTCCTTCCATGGCAAGCTGTCATGGACGAAGGTAAGACTGCAAGGGCACCACCATCTCAGTTGAGTCGAGTTCTAATCTTCCCAGGTGCTTTTTTGAAACAGCAGTAGCACTTTTATTTTTTTTAAAGAATATCTTCTAGATATTTGTGAATTTTATTTTTTTCTTTCTTTCCTGATACATGACAAACACAAGAAATAACAAAATATAGTTTTAAAATATAATGAGATATTACTACATACCTGTTAGAAACGCCAAATGCTAATGAAGATGACACAAACAATGCATATCTCAGACACTGTGGGTGAAAATACAAAATGGTGCAAATGGTGTTTGCTCATTAGTTTTTTGTTTTTTTTGTTTTTTTTTTTGTTTTTTTTTTTCGGTCATGGGGCTTGAACTCTGGGCCTGGGCGCTGTCCCTTAGCTCTTCAGCTCAAAGCTAGCACTCGACTTACTTGAGCTACAGTTCCACTTCCGATTTTCTGGTGGTTTATTGGAGATAAGAGTTTTATGGCCTTCTCTGCCCAAGCTGGCTTTGAACCGCGATCCTCAGATCTCAGCCTCCTGAATAACTAGGATTACAGACATGAGCCACCGGCTCCAGGTTGCTCGTTACTTTTGAGACAGAGTCTCCATCCCATCTGGCCATGTACACAACCACAATCTGTCTATTTCCAGTCACGGCTTGCATTGCAAGCATGTGCCACAATGTCCAGGTTACTTTCACTGAGATGGAATTTTGTCTGTTTTTCTCCCCTGACTGTCCTGGAGCAGTCTTCCCAATCTGAGCCTCCCAAATTGCTAGGATTACAGATGTAAGCCACTAATGCCTGTATTTTATAATTTTATTTTGATAAATAAAATTGTGCTCGCTAGGCAAGTACTGTACTTCTTGAGGCATGTCCAAGTGGGATCAATCTTTTTTTATTTTTTAGGTTGGACAGATGAATACGATCATGTTGTATTTGCCTTTCTGTGGCTGGCATTTTTCACCTAACATAGTAATATGAGCTCTATTCATGGTCACAAATGAAAAGATTCCAATCTTTTTTCAGGACTGACTAGTATTAAATTGTGGTAACATACCACATTTCCTTTATCCATTTATCAGTTGCTCTGTTAGGCTATTTCAATTTCTAGTTCATTATAAATGGTGTTACAATGAACACTGAAATGTGGATACTAATTTCAAATGTTTTGAAGATATTAGTAGTGTGGTTACCAGATTGTATGGCAGTTCTATTTTAATTTGTTGATGGACTTTAATCATATCTTCAGTGATAGCTGTTCTACCTTACATACATCAGCAGTGTGCAAAGGTATCTTTCCTCTTCAGTATTATTAACACTTGCTCTTTTTTTTTTCTTTATCAGGACTGTAGCTTGAACTCTTGAACTTAGAGCCTGGGTACTGTACCTGAGTGCTCTATTACTTGAGCCACAGCTTTACTTCTGGCTGTTGGGTGGTTAATTGGAGACAAGAGTCTCAAGGACTTTTCTGCCCAGGCTAACTTTGAACCATGATCCTCAGATCTCAGCCTCCTGAGTAGCTAAGATGACAGGCGTGAGCCACCAGAACCCAGCAGCACTCGTTTTCTTGAGTATTTTTGTAAAAACCTTTCTCACTGGTACAAGGTGATATTTAATTTTAGTTTTTATTTGTATTCAACAGCTAAGATTTGATAATTTTGCCAAAACGACCAGCTGAGTATTTCATTCTTTGTAGTCTTCATACATTATAGTGCTTTAAGAGAAAATGTTCTATACAATCTTTTAAAAAATTCTAAAGTCTTAACAGCATGTGGCATTTTAAAATACAAATGGCTACATATTTTATTCTTATATGTCATATAAAGCTATGACTAGTAGGATGTAAAATGGATATTATTTTAGTAGTGAACATTCATTTTTAAAGAAAATAAATGTATGGCTTTAACATTCAGATATTTAACAATCTCAGTGTGCTAAGATTTGCCTGTATCCCTCTATAACACATATTTTGGAAAGGGTTGATCTCTTAAATCAAGATAGAAGCTGCCTGCCAAGTAATGGCATGTTACACGGATCACTACAATGTCACCCTCTCCAAGGGTATACTTCAGGAAGGAAGATTGGCATCAAGTATTTATGTCATCTGTAAAATTAAATTAAGCAGAATGTATTGACAATATGATATAAAAAGATTTTAAAATTTTTTATCTGAATTCTTGTTTGGAATATGAGTGGATTTTCTAAGAGCCTGACTTCTTTCTACATTACTTATATATTTGGTTTGCTCCTGTTTTCAATGAAAATTCCAGAAAAAGTAGTATATAAGCCACAGTGAAAGTGTTGCAATTATAGCCACTGTTTTTAAGTCCAAAGATATGACATAGTAGGCAGTCACTGAATAAACATGACCTACTTTGAGGTGTGAGAACACACTGAAATGTTTTATTGCAGCTTATAATGTTTTCTTAAAGGAAAATTTCAAATCCATGCACATTAGAGGCCTTCTTCCAGCTTCTCAAGATTGTTGAGAGCAGTATTCAGAAACCACATGTGAAGTGTTTCAAATGTCCAATTCTGACTTCTCTTTGCAAAGTGATTCCCTGTTTCATATCCCTAGATAATATTTAGTATTTTTAGAATCCTTTTAGTATACATGGAGCTTTACTGAGGACGTAAGAAAAGGTTGATGTGAGAGACTGTAACTATTCTCCATTCTACTATTTATAAAAGTTTCATAAACAGTAAAGGGCCTGACTACTATCAAGACAATAGAATAGTAATACAGCATGAAAATTGTTCTGAAGTTTCAGATTTGGATATTCATATTACTAGTGTTAAGAAACACTTAAGCTCCTTTAAGCTCCTTTATAGAAAGCTTCAAAGTACAACTCCTTGAACATGTTTTGCCTTGCTGGACACCAGTGGCTCATGCCTATTATCCTAGCTATTCAGAAGGCTGAGATCTGAGGATCCCAGTTCATAGCCAGCTTGGGAAGACAAATATGAGAGGCTCTTATCTCCAATTAACCAGAACAAATCTGGAAATAGTAGTGTGGCTTAAGTGGTAGAACACCAGCCTTGATCAAAGAAACCAAGTGAAAGCACAAGGTCCAAAGTTCAACACTCAGTACTGTTATAAAAAATATTAATAAAATAGTAAAACAAAACATTTTGACCCTCCTCAGGTTTCACTCATCCTGCCTCACAGCTAGCTCCTCAAGAATTCTTCACCCTGAAATAATAATTGTCTTCTGCCTAGATAGCATAGTCACTGAAGTAAAATTGTTCCACCAAAAAGTTGAAAATGTAGCTGTGCTAAAGGACAGTGCCCAGGCCCTGAGATCAACCCCAAGTACTGGCACAATTATGTATAAATGGGGTCTTATTTTCTTATTTCTTTATTCTTGATGTAGAAAAACCATGTGCCTTGTTTTGTTCTGTTGGAAAGGAACAGCCTGTTCTCCTATCAGAAAAAGTGATGGATGGAACTTCTTGTGGATACCTGGGATTAGATATATGTGCAAATGGCAGGTGCCAGGTAAGATATTTCAAAAGGAAGTATCTCATGTACAGAGAAGATACTGAGACTATTGAAAAGCTTTGTAGTATGGTTGAAAGATTTAGATTAAGGTTCAAAAGGTGTATTTGTGGTCCTTAATTGACCTTGAGCTAATCTGATCTATTTTGAAACTCCATTTCTTCACTTGTATGACAAATGTTTTGAGCTAAGTAACTCAGAAAATCCATCCATAATTGAGATAATCAGAGATTTTGATTGTTTATCACCAATGTAAAGTTGTAACACCTTTATGTCAAAACATTTCAAACCCAAAACTTAGACACTCTAGGTTCTCAAGTGAAGCATGACACTATAGAAGCAGTCTTATTAATCATATTGAACTATTTATCAACACACATAAATCAACTGACTTAAATGCATGATCAGTTTCTTATAACACTGAAATGTTTCACTTGCTTTTCTCTTAATTTCTGAGTATGTTTTATTTTATTTTCTCTTTTTAATTTCTGAGTATGAGGTGCTCTTCCTTATCTATCTTTAGAAAAATAGATAATTTGTTAAAGTGAGTATGAAGAGCAGAGGGGAAATGTTCTAAGAATTTGCTCATCATATTTGAGATGCTGTATTGGGTTGGCTTCTTCCACAGTTGTATATACAAGAAGTTTAACTCAGGGCATGTTCTGCAGCTTGTCTATACATTTTTTTGGGGGGAAGGGAAGGAAAAAAACAAAATGCTTAAATAGGGACACAGGTTGACCCATTGTAACAATGAGATGTGCAAGATACTATGTTGAAAATGCACTTTACAACTTCAGCTGTGGGGAGTGAGGGAGGAATTGGGGAGGTGGGGAGGGAAGGGATGATAGGGGAAAAACAAAGAGGGGATAGGTAACAATGCTAGATGGGAAATGTGCTCATTACCTTACTCATGTAACTGTCACCCCTCTATACAGTATCTTATGCTTGTTCACAGCTGGTGCTCTACCACTTGAGCCATACTTGCAGTCCAGGTATTTTTGTTGAGTAATAGGAGATAGAGTTTTTGCCTGGACGGGCTTTGAATCAAGATCGTCAGATTTCAACATCTTCAGTAGCTATGATTAGAGGCATGATCCTCAACACCCAGCATAAATTGAGACCTTTTAGCCCTCATATTTACTAGTGTTTTGATACCAATTTCCTCAGGAAAGGGATATGGATAAGTTCTGACATACCTTCCAGAAGATAGAGAGAAATAAATCTATTAGTAGTGAAAGAATCAGCAGAGAGGAACAGCAGTGAATTCATGACAGCCATCAGGAAATTCTATTCTTAGTCAAGTCACTCTATAATATATATAGGTGAATCAACTAATCTGTAAAATGGTGTTGTTAGATCAATAGTAATTAATGTATACTATATAATCCCTTGAGAAGTGGACAGAAATTTTCCCCTATGAGAAATACACATATAAAAACACATGTGTGCCAAAATTTGAAATGAAGTGCAAACTACAGATAGATAAGCAACCAGAAAGCCATAAGTATTCTGGATCATTTGGAATATCATGTAACTTAAATACTTTCATAGCTCCAATATTCTCGATATTTGCTAGCTTGCTAATAAAATTTTAAAGCTTTGAATCATGCAGTGCCAATAGCATAAGAAATGGTATTATGATTATATATTAATTTCCTTTATTTTTTAGCAGATTAGGGCAGTCACTTGAAATGTAATTTTTAGTTACCTATGTCATAAAAATTAAAAAACCATAGATATTTAGCCTATGTATAATTCATTTTACTATAGTATAGTATATTTTACTATCTTTAATCATACACAAATCTCACAGACTAGTATATATCTAAAATGAATGTATTTTTCCAAAAATGATTTAAATTGTGAATACCAAATGTAATACCTTAAGCTGTTATGATTTTCACATATATTTGTGCTGTATAAGCTAGATTGTTTACAGGTTTCCTGATGAGGCATTAAAATCGTAGCAACAACAAATCTGTATGCAGTCTTTCCTGACACTTGAGATTATAGATTAGAGTTCTCTCAAATGGATTGTGACTTTTCTTAAGACTATAACTTTGTAACTGAAATGCTTCATTTAACATAATTAAAAGCATTGTTTTCTTTTTATCACAAAATGTAGAACACCAAACCTAAATATAGAACTGTAAACTTGGAGAATGAAGAGAGTTGAGAACAGCTTTCTGAGGATGTCTGTTTGGCTCTGAATTTTCTGTTCCTAAAAGTGTAAGGAGGGCATTTCTGGTATGCCAGAACTGTTTCAGTCACTGGCCATTTGTGTAATGGCATTGGCTTTTCTAACTCTTTCATCCTCACAGTTTGGATTTATGTAAGAAAATTTGGGTGATATGGAAAACTAGAACTACCAATAAAAATATACAACCCTCAATTCTAAAATATGTGAACTACAGTATGTTGTCTAACTCTTTTGCTTTAGGTTCACAGATAATATCTGGTTATGATTATCATAGTTACAGAGTTGGGGGAAGAACTTAAGAAACTAACCACTATATTTCTGTAACTACTTTCCAAAAAGTAAGTTGCATTTAGTTTAGTTAGATTTACTTTAATCTCTAGTAACACTACCAATAAAAGACAAAGAAAACACATTTAAAGGTCTAAGGTCCTTTTTCACATATGGAGAAATGTTTCTACTTCATGTTAAACTCTTAAAGTTTTACATGATTCCAATTTAGTGTTCACTTCATTTTAACATGTCCTGTGTTGCCTTATTTTTTTTTATCCAAAGATAAACTGGGACTGTCTGATCATTCTTCTATCACTTCCCTATCCCTGTATCAGTATAGACATTTTTGCATAAAGGAAGGGGTGCTGTAATGTGGAGGTGTCATGTGATTCTCACTTTCTCAGAATGGCCATCCTACTGCTGTACTTTATTTGCATACCTAACCACACCACCACCACCACTAGTATTTGTTTCTGATTTACTTAACACTTAGGAGTTAGAATAATTGGAACTTATCATAAATGAATATTAAGCTCTCTAAATCTTTTTGTTTGCTTAGAACCATTCGTATTCCTTCCGGTTATTTCTGACAGATCAATATAAATAATTTATTCTATGTGTATATGCAACTTGGATAAAACAATCATAGTATCTAAATGAATATCAGTGGATGGCAAAAATATATACTAAAGAAGAATAAGTGCATTCAGCCTTAAAAGATTCCTAGTGACTGACTGAAATCTTCTGGCAGCATATACAAATTAACTCCTTTGCTCGGCATAATGATTCATGCCTATAATCCTAGCTACTCAGGAGGCTGAGATGTGGAGGCTTGAAACTAGCCCTGGCAGAAAAGTCCATGAGACTCATCTCCACTTAACTGCCAAAAAGTTGGAAGTGGAGCGGCCATTCAAGTGATATAATTTCAAAAAAAACCCTAAGGGACAACACCCAGACTCTGAGTTCAAGCACCAGTTCCTGCACTAATGAGAGGGAGAGAGAGAGAGAGGAGAAAGAAATAGAGAAAAATAGAGAAGAAAAATTACAGAAAAAAGAAAGAAAGTAAAGAGAGAAAGGGGAAGGAAAGAAAGGAGGAAGAAAGGAAGGAATGAGAGGGAGGATGGGCGGAAAGGAAAGGAAAGACAGAATGAAAAAGAAAGAGAAAAAGTGAACTCCTCAACTATTTTATATTCATTTATTTATATTCCTTGTTTGGTGAAGAACTCTTAAATTTGTGTTGGATACCAAAGAAGGTGGAATGAAAAAGTTTGTTTGTAGTAGAGTTCAGTTAATATTTAATACTTGGCACTAGATTTACAATCTCTTCACACATAAAGCCACTTACATGGTGCCCTCTAGAATATAATTAAGCCAATTATGTTATATTAGCTATAAAATTGCTATTCTTTAGGATTTAGTACATTTCTTTTTTCTTGATACTATTTTTCTCCCAATTACTTTAGGTTATCATTTAGTGCTTACTTTAAGCATTACTTTTGTCACTAACCTGTAGTTTGTTCATTTTGTGTATTCTAATGTCTGAAGGAATTTGCCCCATAGAACCCAGCACATTTGCTTACCTATAAAATATGTCTGGTTTGTGGACATTAGGTCAATATGAAATTAGTAGTTACAAAAACAAAAGAGTATTTTGATTTACAATTTCCATTTTTTTTCCTACAGAAAGTTGGTTGTGATGGATTATTAGGGTCCCTGGCAAGGGAGGACCACTGTGGAGTATGCAATGGTGATGGAAAGTCTTGCAGGATTATTAAAGGGGATTTTAATCACACCAGAGGAGCAGGTAATTATTCTTTGTTTTTCATAATTAATGACCCCTATTGTCTTTGGAGGACAAGGAATACAATGAAATTGACTTGGAGATCACTCATGCTTTGTTGAGGACATTTTTAGTGGGTATTGAATGATTTACAAACAATCTATGGGACTGAAGACAGAAATATGAAGTCATCTGTTCTGCATTTAGTAAGTTAGAGTGCCACGGGAATACTCTTAATTTGCATTGGCTCATATTAGCAGGTTTTGAAAGACCTTGTCCTCTAATGCAAAGCATGTCATTTTTTTCTTCTTTCCTTTTTTTGTGTGTAAGCTGGTCCTGGGGATTGAACTCAGGGCCTGGACACTATCGCTGAGCTTCTTTTTTCTGCCCAAGTTAACACTTTATCACTTGAGCTACAACTTCTGGCTTTTGGGTGGTTAAATGGAGATTAGTGTCTCACAAACTTTCCTGGCTGGGCTAGCTTTAAATGATGACCCTCAGATCACAGCTTCCTGAGTTGTAAGGATTCCAAATGTAAGCCACCAGTGCTTGGCTCCATTTTCTTTTTTCCATTTTTCTTTCTTTTGACACATTTTTAAATATTTTTTTATTATAAAGATACTATACAGAGAGGTTACAGCTACATGAGCAAGGTAATGAGTCCATTTCCTATGGAGCATTGTTATACCCTCCTTTATTTTTCCCCTACAATCCCTTTCCTCCCCACCTCCCCAACTCCTTCCTCCCCTCTCCTACCCGCCCACGCTGCAAAGTTGTAAAGTTTTTCAACATACTGTCTTGTACATCTCATTGTTACAATGGATCATCCTGTATCCTTATTTCAGCATTTTGTTATTTCCCTTCCCCTCCTCAAATTAGAAAAATGTATATACAAGAATCAGGACACCAGAATCAAATATAGTGACAACACTGGTTGTACCATAGGAGAAGAACATACAAAAAAAACAAAAAAATTACATAATACATTATAAATACATTAAAAAGAACAGCAACAAAGATAAAAACCCCTTGTGTCCCTATCATAGGGTTCATTTTGCTTAGCATCATGTTATATGGTCTTATGTACATACCTTTTGAACTCTTCTAGTTCTAGACATGTACTAGTTACTTCAAATAAGGGAAACCATGGGACCTATGTTCCTTTGAGTCTGGCTTACTTCACTTAATAACATTTTTTCCAAGTTTTTCCATTGTATATAAATACCACATTTTCTTGATCCATTCATCTACTGAGGGGCATCTGGTTTGGTTCCATATCTTAGTTATGGTGAACAATGCTGTGATAAATGTAGTTGTGCTGGTAACTTTATTATAGCCTTGTTTGTGGTCCTTTGGGTAAATTCCCAAAAGTGGGATTGCTGGGTCATAGGGGAGCTCTATGTGGAGTATTTTGAGGAACCTCCATACTGCTTTCCAAAGTAGTTGAACAAGTTTACACTCCCACCAAGAATACAGTAGTGTTCCCTTTTGGCCACATCCCCTCCAGCACCTGTTGTTATTAGAGTTCTTGCTGTGTCATGCATTCCCATTTGTCCAATCTTTCTTTGATTTGTTGTGTTTCTGGGTCTTTAGTAAGAAAAGTTCAGCCTGTGCCAAGGAGACCTAGAGTTCACCCTGTTCTTCCTATAATGTTTTCAGGGTGTCTGCTTTGACTACAAGGTCTTTGATCCATTTGGAGTTGATTCTGGTGTAGGGTGATATATGGGAATCTAGCTTTAGTTTTCTATAGGTGTTTAACCAGTTTTTCCAGCACCATTTACTGAAAAGGATGTCTTTCTTCCATTCTAATTTTTTAGCTCCTTTGTCAAAGATTAGGTGGCTATAGGTTGGTGGGTTCATTTCTAGGTCTTCAGTTCTATTCCACTGCTCCTGAGGTCTGTTCTTGTGCCAGTACCAAACTGTTTTGATTACTATGGCTTTGTAGTAGAGTTTGAAGTTTGGTATTGATATTCCTCCAGCACTGTTCTTTGTGCCAAGGATTGTTTTTGCTATTTGGGTTCCATAGAATTTCTGGATTGTTTCTGCTACTTCACTGAAGAATGAGGTTGGTATATTGATAAGTATCACATTGAATTTCTAGATAGCCTTTGGAAGTATTGCCATGTTCATGATGTTAATCGTTTCCATCCAGGACCATGGGAGGTTTTTCTACTTCCTTAGTGCTGCTTTAATTTCTTTTTCAGGATTTTAACGCTTTCATCATAGATATCCTTCACTTCTTTTGTTAACTTAACTCCTAGGTATTTTATTTTTTGTGGAGCTATTACAAAAAGAGTTGCTTTCCTGATTCAGCCATGCACACTTCTCATTATTGATGTACAGATAAGTCATTGATTTTGACCGTTAGTTTTGTATCTTGTTACTTTGCCAAAGTTTCCAATCAGTTCAAGTTTTTTAAATACAAGATCATGTTATCTGCAAAGAGGGAGAATTTTACTTCATCTTTCCCTATTTGGATCCGCTTTATGTTTGCATCTTGTGTTATTGTTCTAGCTAGGCATTCTAATACTAAATTGAAGAGAAGTAGAGAGGTTAGACATCCTTGTCTCATTCCTGAATTTAGATGAAATGGCTTTAGCTTTTCATCATTAAGTTAATGCTGGCTGTAGATTTGTCATACACAGTCTTTATTATATTGAGGAATGTTCCATGAATTCCTAGTTTTTCCACAGCTTTTATCATAAAGGGGTGTTGGATCTTGTCAAAGCTTTTTCTACATCTATTAAGATAATCATGTGGTTCTTATCGGTGCTCTTGTTGATGTGATGAATTATATTACATGATTTCCATATATTGAACCAGATTTGCATCCCTGAAAAGAGTCCTGTTTCATTATGGTGTATGATTTTTTTGATGAGTTCTTGAATTCAAATGGCGAAAATTTTGTTGAGAAGTTTTGCATCAATGTTCATCGATGAAATAGGTCTATAGTTCTCTTTCTTTGATGAGTCCCTATCTGGTTTTGGGATGAGGGTTATGATGGCTTCATAGGAGTTAGGTAGTGAACTTTCACTTTCGATTTCCCTGAAGTGTTGGAGGAGTATTGGTGTGAGTTCTGCTTTGAAGGCCTTGTAGAATCCTGCTGTAACTCTATCTGGTCCTGGGCTTTTCTTGAGGTCTCGTAATGCTGTTTCTCTTTCGATGCTTGATATGGGTCTGTTACATTGGTTTAATTCATCGTGATTTAGTTTTGAAATGTCAATATTTGCTAGAAATTTGTCCATTTCTTCCAGATTCTCAAACTTATTAGCATAAAAGTTTGAAAAGTATTCCCTTATAATGTTCTGAATCTTGGTTGTTTCTGTGGTGATGTTACCATTCTCATCTCTGAGTTTGTTTATATGGGTGTGTTCTCTTCTTTTTCTAATAAGATCTGCTAAGGGTCTGTCAATTTTGTTAATTTTTTTCGAAGAACCAACTGTTTGTTTTGTTGATTCTATGGTGTTTTTGGACTCTAACTCATTTAATTATGATTTAATTTTAATTATTTGTTTCTATCTACTGGATTGGAGTTTAGTTTGTTGCTCATTTTTAAAGAGCTTCTGGTACCTTGTTAAATGTTGGTTTCAATCTCTCCAATTTGTTGATGTAGGAACTCAGAGCTATAAACTTGTCTCTGACTACTGCCTTTTCTGTGTCCAAGAGGAGCTGGTAATTTATGTGTTCATTTTTGTTAAATATCATGAACATTTGAAATTCCTTTCTAAACTCTTCTATGACCCACTGGTTGTTCAACAGTATGTTATTCATCCTCCACGTGTTATAGGATTTTCTTTGGTGGGTTTTGGTGTTGAGTTCTCATTTTATTCCCTTGTCATCTGAGAGAATGGAGGGCATAACTTCAATGTTTCTGAATTTGGACAAGTTTGCTTTGTGACCTAAAATGTGGTCTATTTTGGAAAATGTTCCATGTGCTGCTGAGAAGAACTTTTATCCTGATGCTGCTGGGTGAAATATTCGATAGATGTCTTTTAAGTCTAGTTGATCTATGTCTGAGGTTTCTCTGTTGAGCTTTTGCTAGGCTGACATATCCAGCGGGGATTGTGTTGTGTTAAAGTCCCCAACACTTAATGTCTTTAGATCTATGTGTGATTTTAGGGAAATATTGTTTCTTGGATAAATTTGGGTGCTCTGTTATGTGGTGAATAGATATTTAGAATTGTAATATCCTCCTGAAGGAGAAATCCCTTAATTAATATGTAATGACATTCTTTATCTCTTCTTCCTAATTTTAATTTGAAGCTATTTTATCTGATAGTAGGATTGTAACTCCTTCCTGTTTATGGGGCTGTTTGCTTGGTAGATTTTATTCCAGCCTTTCACTTTCATTATGTTTGCTTTTGTGGGCAAGGTGTGTCTCTTGACAGCAGCAGATAGAAGGATCTTGCTTTTTGATCCAGCTAGTCAATGTCACTTAATTGGAGAGTTAAATCCATTGATATTGAGAGTTAGGACTGAGAGGTGTTTGGTAGTTCCAAATTGGTATTAATCTTCGGTTAGCCTCATCATACTTGCAATATTCCTCTATTAAACTTTGGTTAGCCTCATCATGCTCACACATTTCCCTATCATACAGTGAGACCTTTGCAGGCTTTCAAACTTTTTATTCAGCATGTTTACCAGTAGAGTTTGTAGAGCATTTTGTAAACTCTCCTCTGGGTTATTCATTGACTGCTCTTTTGCCTGATTGTCATCAGAGGGAATTGAAATACCTGGACTTGCCATTTTTCTTGTGTTTCTGCTTGTTCTGCCCATTTGGCTATGATAGCCAAACTGAGGCTGAGCTGTAACACTATTTTAAGGCAAGCATCAACCAGAGCCCTGTAGTTACACAGATTGTTTCATCCAGTCAAAATTGGTACAGATACAATCTACTTCAACAACAAACAGCTCAGTATCAATGGACTAAGAAAAATCAAGGAAGGGGTCAGCAGAACAAGAAATTAATAGTTTTGGGGAGAATTGTGAGAAGAAAATAAGATTGGAGGAATGCAGGGAGGGAA